ATTTGAACTTTGGGTTCAAACCAACTTCATTTAATTGTGTTGCTAGTTGCATTAGCTCAATCAACAGCATATTGCCATGTCATTGTCATGCATCATGTTGTGCATTGCATTGATTGTATTCCTTCTTTGTTGCCGGTGGTTGTCCCCTCTCGATAGACATTGCACCGACGCTGTGATCGTTGACACTGATGAAGACCCAATGATATCTTCAGAAGTGCCAGGCAAGCAAAACCCCCTTGTTCATTCCGATACAACCCCACTCTCTCGCTCCTGCTCTCTTTTACTGCATTAGGACAACAACGATTCATCTGTTACTTATTGCGGTAGCTGAACCCCTTATCCTCTGCATGACCTATCATTGCCACAGTAAATAGATGAAACCCACTAGCATGAGTAGGAGTTGTTTGAGCCCTGATGTGCCTACTCATTCATGCTTGTTTGTCATGCCTGCTATTACATAGAGTTGCGTCAGGTCTGATTCATCGGGAATGAATCGGTGGTGTGTGATCATGTCCTACCGTGTGTGAGCTAAGTGAGTGAATACGTTTTTGGTAAAGGTAGCGGTGAGAGGCCATGTAGGAGTACATGGTGGGTTGTCTCATCGTAGTCGTCCTCAGGAACTGAGTTCTGTGTCTGTGATCCATGAACAGCTACTACCACTCATTGGGATCCTTAATTGACCCTCTCGGCTTCTTAATCACCCTAGTACTCTGTCCAGGAGTTGCAACTAGTTTCTGGTGTTTGTAGGTTATGTGTTGGCGGCCGTGCGTAGCGCTGACCCTAGGGGTGGGCTATGTTGCGGTAGATACACCGTGGCACGGTGTACCGGGCGCCCGTTTGGTGTCTAGGGAACCCTGTTCACATCGTTCGGGGCCGTATGTGGAAACCTCGGCCGGACTCCCTATGGATGGAACCTGGATAGGCGATAAACCTGGACTAGAGACTTAAGTGTTTAGGTAGGCCGTGGCCGACACCCTCGCCAGGCTTCCGCTTGAAGGTTGCTGAGATACATGACGTGTATATGGTGGTAAGTGGTGGGAGCGTGTGTGAAGAAGTACACCCCTGCAGGGTTATCATTATCTATTCGAATAGCCGGATTCCTCGGATATGGAAACTTGGACCCCTTGCATAGTTCATAGACAAGTGAAAGTGGATACTCTAAAACTCGCAAGATAAGTGTGACTGCTATGGATGCCCTTCTCGTATGGAGACGGGAGCAGTTCCATAGTGGTGTATTGAATGGTGAATATGTGGACTCGTGTGCGCCACCCCAAAGAGTTGATTGCAGTCGTAGTTCAGGTTAGCCACCGAGTTAAAGCTGGCTTGCTGCAGTTAAACTCCACCACCCCCTTTGTTGATACCGATGCATATGTAGTTAGTTCTGATGTAAGTCTTGCTGAGTACAATTGTACTCACGTTTGCTTAATTTATGTTTTTGCAGAGAGGCTTCAGTCTCGCTAGTAGTTCCGCGTGGACTTCGACGTTTAGCTTGATACCTCAGCTACGATCTTGTGCCCTTGGCAGGATCTGATAGATAGTCAGGCTTCTTAGCCTTTTTCATTTGTAGATGTCTGTACTCAGACATGTTAAGCTTCCGCATGTGCTTTGCATTGTATGCTATGATTGTTGGGTCATGAGACCCATGTTTGTAATATCTCGCTCCTCGGAGCCTAATGAATAAATACTTGAGTTGTAGAGTTATGTTGTGATGCCATGTTATATTTACACATATCGAGCATATTGTGTGTATGATTGAAATGCTTGGTATGTGTGGGATCCGATAATCTAGTTGTTTATCCTTGGCAGCCTCTCTTATGGGGAAATGTAGTCTAGTGCTTCCATGAGCCATAGTAGTCCGCTACAGCCCGGTTCACCGGAGTCCTGCTAGCCCAACACTACTGCTCAGGACACTTGACTGGCCGGCATGTGTTTCACTTTGTTCCTGTGTTTGTCCCTTCGGGGAAATGTCACGCGGTGACATCCGGAGTCCTGCCTAGCCTGCTACAGCGTGGGTTCCCGGAGTCCTGTTAGCCCAGTGCTACAGCCCGGATTCACACGCCGCTGACCGACATACTCGATGTGATTCATGTATGCCTGTCCCCATAGGTTAGTGCCACTTTGGGTTCACGACTAGCCATGTCGGCCCGGGTTCTCTGTTAGATGGATGCTAGCGACACTATCATATACATGCTCGATGTGACTTGGAATCGGGGTCCTGACACCCTGGGTGGTTTTGTTAATTCTTAACAACATATAGCTCATTGAGCTAATGCTATTTGAAGATAAATATTTTAGGAAAGCTCAATGATTGGCACGACATGGATTAGAAAGTGGACCCCCTCAAAATGCTAAGTACAAAATATTGGCTCAAGCTCAAGCACAAGACTCTACATTTCATTTTAGTGATCCAAGATCACATTGAGTCCATAGGAAAAGCCAATACTATTAAAAGGGGATGAGGTGTTGCTTAATGAGTTACTTGCTCAAAATGCTTAGTGATATGCTCCAAAAACCCTCAACTGCTTTCTCATATCCATATATGTTCCAAACCAAAAGTCAAACTCGGCCCCATCAAAATCTTCTATCCAGCGCCACCGAGTTCATGTGACATAGCCACTACCAGAAACCCTAATCAATTCGGTCTCACCGATAGGGATCTCGGTCTCACCGAGATGGGATTGCAAACTCTCTGTTTCCCTTCGTAACGTTTCGGTCCAACCAAAATGAGTGATCGGTCCCACCGAGATTGCAATGCAAACTCTCCGTTTCCCCTTCATAACGTTTCGGTCTAACCGAGATGAGCGAATCAGTCCCACCGAGTTTGCCTGGCCAACTCTCTGTTTGTCTATTACCAAAATCGGTCCCACCGAGTTTGTGTAATCGGTCTCACCGAGATTACGTTTTGCCCTAACCCTAATGGAACCGGTCCCACCGAGTTGACATGTCGGTCCCATCGAAAACCCTAACAGTCACACTATGAACTAAATCGGTCTGACCGAGTTGTATGATTCGGTTCCACCGAGTTTGGTGATTTGTGTGTAACGGTTAGATTTTGTGTGGAGGCTATTTATACCCCTCCACCCACTCTTCATTTGAGGAGAGAGCCATCAGAATATGCCTACACTTCCAACATACATTTTCTGAGAGAGAACCACCGACACTTGTGTTGAGGTCAAGATATTCCATTCCAGCCACATATATCTTGATCTCTAGCCTTCCTCAAGTTGCTTTCCACTCAAATCATCTTTCTACCAAATCCAATTCTATGAGAGAGAGTTGAGTGTTGAGGAGACTATCATTTGAAGCACAAGAGCAAGGAGTTCATCATCAACACACCATCTATTACCTTTTGAAGAGTGGTGTCTCCTAGATTGGTTAGGTGTCACGAGTCTCCTTCAAGATTGTGGAGTTGAACCAAGGAGTTTGTTAGGGCAAGGAGATCACCTACTTCGTGAAGGTCTACCCTAGTGAGGCAAGTCCTTCGTGGGCGATGGCCATGATGGGATAGACAAGGTTGCTTCTTCGTGGACCCTTCGTGGGTGGAGCCCTACATGGACTCGCGCAACCGTTACCCTTCGCGGGTTGAAGTCTCCATCAACGTGGATGTACGATAGCATCACCTATCGGAACCACGTCAAAATTTCCGTGTCTACATTACGTTTGCTTCCTCCAAACTCCTCCCTTTACCTTCATATGCAATTGTTTTACATTCCGCTGCTATACTCTTAGAATCGCTTGTGTAGGTTGATTACTTGTTTGTGCTAAGTTGCTAAAATCTGCCAAGACTTAAAATTGGGAAAAGGCTATATTTTTATTTTGTCAAGTAGTCTAATCACCCCCTCTAGACATACGTTCGATCTTATAAAATGAGCAAAAGAATCTAAAAGAAGCAGCTCAGACATTTGGTCGAATAGATAAGGGGTGAGGTGTACTTCTGGAGTAGGACGTACTAGTGTGGCCGCAGTGTCCGAGGTAGCAAGGATGGTGGGGAGGAGTTTGGACGGCATGGAGCTAGGGTGAGGTGGCAGAGGCAGAGTCGGGGAAGGAGTGGCGCGGGTGAGGCAGAAGAGGGGAAGAAGGTAGGCCGAGCGAGGACTGGGGACGATTTTGAGAGATTTTGAATGGATCTGGCCCGCCGAAGCCAACATGACTAATGCGTCCGGACGTGTTCGGATCATCCCGTATTGTCTCATATATGGGCTGGATACAATCGATGTCGGATAGCCCATATATATGAGATGGAATTTAGAAGTCCAGTTACACAACTTTTTATTCAACGGTGTTCGGAATGTCCAGCCCGACATTTAGAGGGAGGAACGAAGTCCTATTATAGATGCTCCTGTTCCAGCCAGAATGCCGATGAAGGAGATTATTCCGCTGTTGGGATTTTGTGGGGTGTTATTTCCAAGGAAAGAATAGCGCGCTGCAGTAAAATAGTGTCGGCCTTCGAATACACTATTAATGTGTTATATCGCGCTATAGCGTGTCATTAGCGAGACGTTGTACATCTATCTATTTAACAAGACAAATTTTAATAGGCTAGCTAGTACTAGTATTTTTCTTGCTTCTCACCTGCTACAGACTTTTCATTCCCTCGGCTTTCTAATCGAACTTGATGGCACATGCGCGCGGACAAGTAGTTCTGCACGGCCGTTGCCTGGGCAAGATTCTCGTGTGCGGCCGCCGCCACGATCGGTACGCACCATTAACCTTACTCATACTGCACTGCGGCTCATTTCATTGCGTCGCACAGCATCGCCTCGTAGCGCACATTCCCGCTACTCCACGCCCAGAGAATAACATAACCTCCCCGGCAACCACCGATCGGTACGCACCGTCAGACCAGCTCATCTCCAGCCGGCCACCCCCTAACCCCACCCCACGTCGGCCTCCCTATATCACCCAACACTGCCCGCCCTGTAACGATCACACGCACTAGCACCACTCCTCTCTCCTGCAACCTCCGTTCTTCAGAGCAGCACCAGCCAGAGCCACAAGCAATGGCGGCGAGGAGCGGCATTGTCGTCGTCGCGGCGGCGCTCTTGGCCCTGGTGGCGGTGTCGCAGGCGCAGGCGCCGGGCCCCTCGGCGACGCCGGCCGGCCCGCCGAACGTGACGGCCATCCTGGTGAAGGGCGGGCAGTACACGACCTTCATGCGGCTGATGAAGGAGACGCAGCAGGACACGCAGCTCAACAGCCAGCTCAACAACTCCTTCAACGGCAACGGCTACACCGTGTTCGCGCCCACCGACAACGCCTTCAACAACCTCAAGCCCGGCACGCTCAACAGCCTCACCCAGCAGCAGCAGGTGTCGCTCGTCCAGGCCCACATCCTGCCCCAGTACTACACCATGGAGTCCTTCCAGACGGCCAGCAACCCCGTCCGCACCCAGGCCTCCGGCGAGAAGGAGCCCATCACCGTCAACATCGTCGCCACCAACAACCAGGTCAACGTCACCACCGGCCTCGTCGAGGTCGCCGTCAACAACGCGCTCAGCGCCGTCAAGCCGCTCGCCGTCTACTCGGTCGACAAGGTGCTCCTGCCCGAGGCGCTGTTCGGGGCCAAGGCGCCGGCGCCGGCGCCCACCGCCTCCAAGGGGGGCAAGACCAAGAAGGGTGAGGCCGCCTCCGGGCCGGCCGGGTCAGACGACGAAGCCACGCCCACGGGCGCCGCGGGCGCCAAGGCCGTCGGTTGGGGCGTGGCTGGCATGGCCGCTCTTCTTGGCTACCTCTTGTGAGATGGGGTAGCTTGGGATGATCGCACTACGACCAGGACGCCATGGTCATAAATCAATGTGCATAGACTCGATGGGTTTCCTTGTCTTTGGTGTTTCTTTCCTTTCTTCCACCCTGTTCAAATTCCTTTGTTCCATTCTTGTTCTTGCCTTGTTGGCGGTTTGTTAAGATTGAGTTATGTGATTGAATTTATGTGTTTGAGGCAAGAATGTTAATAACGACGCAGTGCATTTTGAGTACCCGGTAGTGCGATTGAAAGACACGGTCCCATTGCGATTTGAGTGTGTGCCCTTTTTTATCACATCATTGTGGTGCCCGGCAAAAGACTGCCGTGTGTCGGTGCTTTACTCACGTTAGTTGAGCTGATAATAATCAGAGCTAGCTGGTACTAAATCAGGATAAGATTTTAGCAGCCCCATTGATCTGGAAGTGTTCTCTGGTCAAAATGGGATGATAGTACACGTCTAGTTTTCGGTTTTGGATTTATCAAGAGATGGATGGGTAATCATGGAGTTGGTGCAAGTGTGGAACAGAGTGGCGGAGCAGGGAGGAGCCAATGCACGAGCACGTGGTGCCACGCCCATCCGGTGATGAGTGAGTCGATTCTATTGCATAGTGGTAGTGGTACTGCATTGTACGAATACTATACACCCTATGTGCGTGCATCAGTGCATGGAGCGGCAGCGATGCAACACATTCTATTTTGCTTCGGGTGAAAATGTTTAGTCTGGAAACCTCCATTTTACTTCACAGCCTACTCACAGATGTGATAGCATGGCCTTCCCTCCCAGGGATTCATCGTTTTCATCGGAGACGGAGAGTGCTCTCAAGACGAGAACCATTAGCTTGTAGCCCTGTAACTCTGTTGGCAAAGAGCATAACATTGCCGGTAGCTTCGTACTACGTATACTAGTATCATACAGGGATTCATCGTTGTCATATACGGATACGCACATCATGGAGTAGCGTGGCGGCACGTCGCTTTCAATTATCAATTGCCAGCTAGCGCTGCCGGTCTGGCATCCGTTTTATACAGATGACGATGGAGCTCGCTTGGCTGGTACGTACGAGTTACTTTTGCAATCATGCTTTTATTCTACTCTTATCCATACATACCAGTAAGGAGGGCAAAAATGACAAATTTGACCTATAAATGAAAAGAATTCACAAAATGAACTGTGTTTGAAAAAATTTCACTCCGCTAACCCTTTCGTGTGGCGCCCGACAGCTAGGCGTCACACTACACTATGTAGCGCCTGACTGACGGGCGCTACACATCTGGCTAGCGTCGCACTCCGAAATACCTAAAAATTGTTAAGTCAGTGTGCAACGCCCAAGAATTAGGCGCTACACTATATAGTGTAACGCCTATACATTAGGCGTTGCACTATTTACATTGCCCGTACCGCGCTTTAGTTTTCTGTACCGTGCAGAGACAGGTCTGCCACTGCTACGGGATGCTCATCAGCAGCCTGGCTTGGCTTTTGTCAGTGACAGTACATGCATGCTCTACTGCTAGCTGCTATAGTATGCTAGCCGGCTAGGCTGGATGAGGTTTACTTTATCATTTTCTTGTTTCTCCGGTAGATGTCTGCTCCTCTCCCACGTACGGCGCTACAACATCTTTCTTGGGTTTCATCAACTCTTGGATGTTTTTGCCCTCTCCTTACTACTACTGGCGTTTGCTACGTAATCTGATTCTAATTCATCTATCTACGTTACACACTCTGCATCACTGGTACATGCAAGTAGTGCAGCGCCCATGGTCCAGGCGCTACACTATACAGTATAGCGCCTAGATCTTAGGCGTTGCACACTGACTTAGCAATTTTTAGGTATTCCAGAGTGCGACGCTAGCCAGATGTGTAGCGTCTGTCAGTCAGGCGCTACATAGTGTAGTGTGACGCTTAACTGTCGGGCGCCACACGAAAGGGTCAGCGAAGTGAAATTTTTTCAAGCACAGTTCTTTTTATGAATTCTTTTTGTTCACAGGTCAAATTTGTCGTTTTTGCCAGTAAGGAGTACCTTTTGGCTGATTCGCAAGAAAAGAAGACACACCAGCTAGCACAGCTTTAAAAGGGGAAAAAATGGGTCCCCAATTTTGCTAAGTTCACGACGGTCTTTCTACATTTACATTTTCAGATAGATAGATAGATAGATAGATAGATAGATAGATAGATAGATAGGCAAATAGACATACATACGTTACTACAATCAGGCACATCCGGACGCGTCCCTGGACAGTGTCGGTCGGCCCCTTAAAAGTTATGCCAGACAATCATACTCCTAATATCAAAAATCTCCAATCCATGTAAGTCCATGCACGTCGATCATATATTCATCACCAATTCAACGATTAAACAATGCAACAAGGCAAAATGAACTACAATTCAACATTAAAGGATGCCAAAATGAAATTCAACATACGGGGCACGCCCAGCCAACATGCTGAAGCACTCGTCGGGTGCCATACGACGCGTGTCTGCTACTGCGGCCACCGCTCTCAACCCCTCATACACCATCTGAACATTGACCTCCTTCCTCCTCTTCTCAAGATTCTTCTTGCCTTCTGGGTCCAAGAGGTTTGGATCGGCCAACATTATCCTCTAATCCTCCGTCTCTTGAGAAGTTCCAACATCTCCTTTTCAACCTCTATTGTTCCAAAAGTCCTGGCCTTCTCAAGTTATCATTTGACACACGCCTCTCGCTTCTCCAAGTCTATCTTTTCCCTCTCAATTTGCAACTTGTTCAACCTCTCTAGGTCCCAGCCCATTCTCTCGTTCTGTGCATCCAACATGAGTTTGTATCTCTCCTTCCTCGTCAAAAATATGCTCGTCCATGTGGCAGACATTTTAGACATCGATGCGTCACGAGCGGCCCTCCGCTTCTCCCACTTGCTTCCCATCACATGGTGGTTCTTCATTGGCATGATGGCTCGTCCATCCTCCCCTACAACTTCTTCTTCTTCGTCATCCAATCCAATGGATTGTTGGGATCTTGAGGCATCATTTTTCTTCAACCTCTTGTTGCCGTTCTTGAGGTCATCCACAAGATGCTGCTGTCGGCGTTCTGGGAACGGGGGTCCCCAGACTTGCCTGCCTGCGGCCTGCGGCGTGGCTCAAGTGGGGGCCCAGCGCGGCCCATCTTCATCAGCTCAAACTCAAGACCCTCGTGAGGGGCCAAGCCTCGCGGGGTGGACGACAGGAAGCTTCCTCAGAGGCAGCCTCATCAGGCAGGCTCGCGAGGAGGCGGAGAGATCAAGGCAGGGGTACCTCGCGAGGAGCCCGTGACGCAAGCCATGACGATCGAGACCAGGCAGGCGCCAGGCGGGCGCCAGCCTGCGCAGTGTCCTTGTTTCCCCTTTGGTGCAAAGGGGGCAAGCACAGGCCAAGGCATCGGGCAAAGGTTACCATTCCGGTGCAACGAGACCAAGACCAGCAGAGCGGTAGGACGAAGGTCACCGTGGAGCCCAAGACGGCGTCATCACTAGTGCTTTTGGCAGCCGAAGACCACCTTTGGTCAGGATAACTTGTACTAGATGTTCCCCTTCAAAATTGCCAATTGTTGGCGCCCTTCCCGCTCATTATTTTGGGAGAGGCCCAGGGCCTCTATAAAGAGAGCTAGCCACCGCAAGGTAGGGAGGACATCTGGAGATCTGGTAGAGCCCTAGCTGAGAGAGAGGCGACTGAACTCACGTAAAAAGTTCATCGCACCAGCTCAAGAACACCTCTCCCGAGGTTGTTCTTCCCTTGTACTATTCATCATCAGCCCCTGAGGCAATCCACCACACCACACACTAGAGTAGGGTATTACACCACAACGGTGGCCCGAACCAGTATAAACCTCGTGTCCCTTGTGTTGTTTGTTGTTTCCAGCCTAGATCACGCGAGGAGATTGGACGTAGATCGGTAGGGAAGAGACCTCCATGCGCACCCCAGTGTTCGAACCTCAAGGGTCTGCCGGAACCCGAAATCCGACATTTGGCGCGCCAGGTAGGGGTGCACCGAAATCTTTCTTCCGCTGTTCGCGTGCGATCTTCCGTCGAGTCCATGGCTGATGCTCGTCGGGCTCGCGCCGAGCGTCGGGCTGCTCTCGCCACCCATGTCGCCCAGACGGCGCCCGTCGGCGGACGCCCTCGTCGTTCCCCGTCGCCCGCCGCCAACGCCGCCACCGACCCGGCGGGGAACGAGCAGCAGGCCTCGTCCCAGCATCCTTCGGTACGGCGGAAGGGCCGCACAACCACACCGTCGCTGACTCCAGCCGCTTCGTCGTCCCACGCCCGTCGCGCCCCCACGGACGCGCACGCCGCGCTGCTCCTGGCAAGAGAGCTCATGCACTACCGCCCCGTCGACGACCTCTATGAGGACTGGCTCGCCCGCATCACCGAGCTCGTCAGCGCCGCAGGGGGCTCCCCCTTGCCGTCCCTCTCGCTGCCTCGCCCTCCATTCCGCGCAGGAGGCGAGGATCAGGAGGTGCCTCCACCACCTCCTCCCCAAGAAGGCGCCCTGGCTCCAAGGCGCGCGGCCCCAGGGCGAGACCCTCCGCCTCCAGTGCCTGCGCAGCAAGAAAGGAGCTGCCAAGAGATCCCTCGTCCCCAAGAAGGTGCTCGCACGCTCCCAGCGCCGGCGCACCAAGATCGCGTCCCTGCACTCCACGCCAAGACCCCGCGCTACTGCAAGTGGTGGAGCGCGATAATCCCCAGGAACAAGCCCAGCACCAGCAAAAGGCACCGGTGGCCACAGCAGGCTGATGTGCCCTCACCCCCGAGCTACGCGGCGTCGCATGGCCAGGCAAGTTCAAGCCTGACTTGCCCCCTCGCTACGACGGTACGGCGGACCCCGCGGAGTTCCTACAACTCTACGAGCTATGCATCGAAGCCACCAACGGAGATGAAAGGGTCATGGCGAACTGGTTTCCCATGACGCTCAAGGACGGGGCCCGCACCTGGCTCCTGAACCTGACTCCTGGCACGATCTCCTCTTGGGACGAGATGCGCACTCGC